AGCCTGGTTCCTGTCGTCCTCGACCCTGAGTCGCCCTCCTACGCCCGCTGGCGGGACCTGGTCCTTCTCATCCTCCGCCGCTACGCCCTAGACGACCACGTCCTCACCGACGCCCCGCCTGCGGCTCGAACCCCTTCATGGCTGCGTCTCGACAGCATCGTCCTCTCGTGGATCCTGGGGACCATCTCCCTCGACCTTCACGACCTCGTCCGCAGCACCCCTGAGAGCACCGCCCGCCGGGCCTGGCTGGCGCTCGAGGGCCAGTTCCTGGGCAACGCCGAAGCCCGGGCCCTGCGTCTCGACGCAAGCTTCCGCACCTTCGTCCAGGGCGACCTCTCCGTTGGCGAGTACTGCCGGAAGATGAAGACCATGGCAGACTCCCTCGGTGACCTTGGCTGGGCCGTGGAGGACCGGATCTTGGTCCTCAACGTCCTTCGCGGCCTCAACGAGCGATACAGCCACCTCCGCACCTGGATCACCCGGCAGCGGCCCTTTCCCACCTTCCTCCAGGTCCGTGACGACCTTGTCATGGAGGAGCTCACTCAGGGCATCACGCCTGGGTCACTACCCGCGCCGGGGTCCTCGTCTTCCTCGACTGCTCTTGCCGCCACTCCTCCGCCACGTCCTTCCGCTCCACCAGCGTCGTCCCTTCTTGGTCCTCCTCCTCCCGGGCCGAGCGGGGGTGGGGGGGGCCGTGGCGGCCATCGTCGACGCGGGGGGGGCGTGGTGCGGGCCCTGGACGTGGGAGTACTCCGACGCCTCCACGGGGTACACCCTGGCCCTCCTTCAACAACCCTTGGTCAGGGCGCATCTCCATGTGGCCCTTCCGGGCTCCCGGGGCCGAGCCTGGTCCACCGGCGGCTATGCTCAGCGGCGCCGTCCCAGTCGCACCTACCTGGACCTCGCCAGGGCCTGTCGGTTGGGACCCGACGGCTTTGGCCCGCTCTTTCGGCACCATGACCCTGACTCCTCCAGTCGGCCCAGACTGGATCGCCGACTCGGGTGCTACCTTCCACACCACCCCTAACCCTGGTATACTCTCTTCTGTTCATCCTCCTTCTTCCTCCCACCCTTCGTCCATCATGGTCGCTAATGGTTCGTGTCTTCCTGTCACTTCCGTGGGTGCCGCTCACACTCATGGCTCTTTTCGTCTTCCTGATGTCCTTGTTGCTCCCTCTATGGTTTACAACCTCCTTTCTATTAAATGCTTTACTGGTGACAATTCACATTACATTGAATTTGACTCATCTGGTCTTCTTGTGAAGGATTTGGCTTCGGCGTCCCTCTTCTCCGATGTGATGACGGGGCCCCTTTACACTCTTGGGTTTCTGCGTCTGTTTTCTTCCGCCCTCCGCTTCGTCCGTTGCTTTTGCCGCCACCACTTCATCCACTACATGCTTTTGGCGTCTTGGGCATCTGGCCGTAATGCTTTGACCCAGCTTAGTCGTAGTTCCGACATACCATGTACTCGGGCTCACGATGAGCACTTGTGTCAGGCATGCCAACTGGGCCGTCATGTTCGTCTTCCTTTCCCTACCTCCTCTTCCCATGCGACCCATATTTTTGATCTTGTACATTGCGACCTATGGACGTCTCTGTTATGAGCATTTACGGCTATAAATACTATCTTGTCGTGGCTTGATGATTTCTCTCATTATTCTTGGACTTTTCCCTTGCGTGCTAAGTCTGATGCATTCCCCACGCTTCTCCACTTTTTCGCCTGGGTGTCTACTCAGTTCGGCCTCACCATCAAGGCCGTTCAGTGTGACAATGGGCGTGAGTTCGATAACTCCAACTCTCGTGCTTTCTTCCTCTCTCACGGTGTGCAGTTACGCATGTCATGTCCCTATACCTCCTCCCGAGCAGTGAAAGGTGGCGCATGATTCGCACCACTAAGCGACACCATGCGCACCCTTACATTTCCAGAGCTTCGCTTCTGCTCACTTCTGGGCTGAGAGTCTGCACACCTCCACCTACCTCCTTAACCGCCTACCTTCCGTTGCCTGTCCGGCTCCCACTCCACACCACGCTCTCTTCGGTACCCCCCCTCGTTACGATCACCTTCGTGTCTTCGGGTGTGCGTGTTACCCTAACACCACTGCCACTGCTCCCCACAAGCTGGCTCCCCGTTCGACTCAGTGTGTCTTCCTCGGGTACTCCCCGGATCACAAGGGGTACCGTTGCTTTGACCTCACCTCTCGTCGGATCCTCATCTCTCGCCACGTGGTGTTTGACGAGTCCATCTTCCCTTTCTCCACCACCTCCCCACCCCCTCCACCCCCGATCTTGACCTCTTCTCCCTGTTTCCCACTGACACGGTGGACCAGCCACCATTGACGTTGTGTCCTGCAGGTACTACTCCACCGTGCCCTTCGCCTGCTTCGTACTCCGGCTCGACGCCCTCCGGTGCGGCCCCTGACCCTGCGCCCAGCGCGGGTCCGGCGGCGCCGGACTCCGGTGCTGCTCCTGGCCCTACGCCCTGCGCGGGTCCGGAGACCTCGGCTTCAGCACCTGCTGCGCGTTTCGCACAGCCGGTGCGTGTCTACCACCGCCGAGTGCGGCCGGCTCCGCTGCATCCGGAGCCGGCCCCGCCACCACTGTCGCCGCCTCGGTCACCACCGGTGGCCTCTTCTCCGCCGTCGACACCCACGCCGCCACCTCCGCCCCCGGTTGCCCGTGTCACGCAGTCGGTGTACCACCCGCCTCTCCTGCACCGACACCCGCGTCATGTTCACCCTATGGTGACGCGGCACGCGGCCGGTACCCTGCGGCCCCTGGCTCTCGCCGCGATGCCAGGCGAGCCGCAGGTCTCTCCTGTACCCTCTTCCGTTCGCGCCGCCTTGTCGGATCCTCACTGGCGTCGCGCGATGGAGGAGTACGCGGCACTCCTCGCCAACCAGACATGGGATCTGGTGCCCTGTCCGCCTGGCTCCAACGTTGTTACCGGCAAGTGGATCTGGACACACCTGGCGGCGGTGATGGTTCCCATGATCGGTACAAGGCTCGTTAGGTTCTCCGGGGTTTCACTTTCGGTATACAGCATCGACTACGATGAGGCGTTGATCCGATGGTGAAGCCGGCTACCGTCCGCACGGTTCTCTCACTGGCTCTCTCTCGCTCCTGGCCCGTGCACCAGCTGGACGTCAAGAATGCCTTTCTGCACGGTACTCTGACTGAGACAGTCTACTGCAGCCAGCCTGCGGGCTTCGTTGACTCTTCTCGTCCTGATATGGTCTGCCGGCTCAACAAGTCCCTCTACGGCCTCAAGCAGGCCCCTCGGGCTTGGTACTCTCGGTTTGCTGCTTACCTGCTGACATTGGGATTCGTGGAGGCAAAGTCAGATACTTCTCTGTTTATCTATCACCACGGCGCTGAGACTGCCTATCTGCTGCTCTATGTTGATGACATTGTGCTCACAGCCTCCAGTCCGTCACTCCTCCGGCGTATCATCACCTCTCTTCAACAGGAGTTCGCTATGAAGGATCTTGGTGTGCTCCATCACTTCCTCGGGGTCACAGTTCAGCCTCGTCCCACCGGTCTCCTTCACCAAATGACAAGTACACTCTTGATATCCCTGGGAGCTGGGATGATGATCGGCCTGTAAGCCTGCTCCACTCCAGTTGACACTCAGGCCAAGCTGTCAGAGGCGGTGGGTAACCCGATGCAGACCCCATGCACACCGGAGCCTTGCAGCGCGACTTGATACCTCACCTTCACCGGGCGAGACATCACCTATGCGATTCAAGTGAGATATGCCTCCACATGCATGATCCCCGAGAGCCCCACCTCGCTTGCTCTCAAGCGCCTCCTCCGCTACCTCCGAGGCCTTTGTCGACTACGGACTGCTACTCCACCGATCTCACTCCACCGACCTCGTCGTCTACACTGACGCCGACTGGGCCGGGTGTCCAGACACTCGGCGCTCCACTTCCGGCTATCTTTGTCTTTACGGGCGCAACTTTGGTGTCTCTGTCGTCAAAGCGCGCCACCGGTGGTCTCTCCCGTTCGATCTGAGGTGAGTAGTGCTGGCATTGTCGCTAACGGCGTGGCGGAGGCCTCCTGGCTCGCTTGACTTCTTGACGAACTCCACACCCCCTCTCCCGAGCACGCTTGTTTATCTGCGACAACGTCGGTCGGTGTACCTCTCCACCAACCCCTGTTCGGCACCGGCCGGACCAAGCATGTGGAGATCGACCTTCACTTTGTCTCATGATTGGTCGCCATCGGCGATGTTCGGGTCCTCCATGTCCCGACCACCTCCCGGTTGCCGACATCTTCACCAAGGGCCTCCCGTCCTCCACTTTCTCCGAGTTTCGCTCCGGCCTCAACATCACCGGTGGCTAGTTGCGCCTGTGGGGGGCTCGTGTGTGTTCTTCTTTTCATGTCCGATCTGCAACTCTTGTGTGCGGTAGTTGAGTGTTGCAGCATGGGGTGTTGGAGTATGTGTGTATTAAGGCCCATATATGGCCCATGTATGACTCCCAATATAGCTACCCTTCAGGTTAGCCCAAGTGTAAGGAATTACAATTCTATCCCTTAAGAATTTCGGATCTCGGCTCCAACAAGTTTGGGGTGAAATTCCGATGTCGGTTGGCCATTGCCATTTTGCTGACATCTCAATTTGTCTAACAACTTGTCGCAAGGTGAGATAGCCACCCAGCTTAAAGAATTGCACCAGTCTTGAAAGGATCGAACTTGACTCGAACTTTTCACGGAGAAATCCTTGCACGGCTTGGAGGCTTACCACTCAAGGCCATACACTTGAGAAAAAACAACTTCATGGAGTAATTCCGAATCCTTGGCAACCTCTCATCCCTGCAAGAAATAAATTTTGCAGAGAACGAACTTGAGGGTACAATACACGAGGGCACTGGGTGGGGTGAATAGTCTCATGTTCGTGGATCCTGGGCGAAAACCATTTCTCGTGAATTATTCCTAAAACATTCTTCAACATTTCCTCACTTATACACTTCAGAGTGACCAATAATGAGCTGCATGGCATGCTTCCCTCAGACTTGGGGGTTCACCTACCGAATCTCAAGTACCTGCGCCTTGGCATCAACCACTTTACAGGAAGCCTTCCGGCCTCTCTTGCCAATGCAACAGAAATATATTCTCTAGATATCTCCTTTAATAATTTCACCGGCAAGTGTGCCTCCCGAGATTGGAAAGCTTTGCCGGACTTCCTCTCCTTCGACACAAATCAGCTCACTGCGACAACTGCACAAGAATGGAAGTTTGTAACGTTCCTGACAAACTGCACACGGCTTCGTATATTTGACGTCCAAGACAACATGCTAGGTGCCATGCTACCGAGCTCTGTTTCAAACCTATCAGCACAACTCCAGGTTCTTTACGTTGGATACAATGAGATTTCTGGAAAGATACCATCTGGCATCAGCAATCTTGTTGGGTTAACTCAGCTGCAGTTATCCAACAACCGATTTACTGGGCTCGTGCCTGGAAGCATTGGAATGCTAACCGCTGCAAGCATTGGGGTTCAAGGTAACCAGTTGACAGGGTTATTGCCTTCCTCCCTCGGGAACTTGACACGGCTACTAAATCTTTACACAGAGAATAACATGTTTGAGGGCCCTATTCCTACAAGCCTAGGAAGCCTCCAGGACATAACTATGGCTACATTCAATAACAATAAGTTCACAGGTCCATTGCCAACACATGTCTTCAACTTATCGTCCCTGTCAGTTCTTCTGAATTTGGCATACAATAACTTCGTTGGCCCTCTTCCACCTGAAGTTGGAAGTCTGACAAAGCTTGCAAACTTGTACATCGCCGGGAACAATTTAGTTGGTTCACTACCAGATGCTATCAGCAATTGCCAGAGCTTGATAGACCTTCGGTTGGACACTAACTCCTTCAATGGTAGCATCCCAGCATCTATCAGCAAAATGAAAGGTTTGGCAATCTTAAATTTGGATAATAACGCACTTTCAGGTGCGATTCCACAAGAATTGGGTCTCATGGATGGGTTGAAAGAATTGTATCTTTCACGCAACAACTTGTCTGGGAGTATACCAGAAAACTTCGAAAACATGACATCGTTGGACAAACTAGACCTCTCCTTCAACCATCTGGATGGTAAAGTTCCATTGCATGGAGTGTTTAGTAATGTGACTGGGTTTCTGTTTGATGGCAATCTTGCGCTCTGTGGTGGTATCCCAGAATTACACTGGCCTCCATGCCTGCAAAATTCCAAGGAGCACAGAAAAAGGAAACTTGTACCCATCTTGAAACTAATAGTACCAATTGCTGGCATCCTTTTTTGTTTCAGTTTGGTACTTATTTCCATCTCATTAAAGAAGAAACAAAAAGCTCAGTCTATATCATTGGCAGAGTTCTGTCTGATGGATGACAAATATCCCAGAGTTTCTTATGATGAATTGCTCCAAGGAACAAATGGATTCAATACTAACAATCTGATTGGCAAAGGAAGGAATGGATCAGTGTATAAGTGCAGCTTGCCACTCAAAAATACGATTACTACAGTTGCTGTGAAGGTTTTTGATCTTCAACAATCTGGCTCTTCCAAAAGCTTCATATCTGAGTGTGAGGCACTTAATAAGATCCGTCATCGTAACTTGATCAGTGTCATAACTTGCTGCTCCAGTTCTGACTCGACCCAAAATGACTTCAAAGCACTTGTGTTTGATTTTATGCCAAATGGAAGTTTACATAGATGGTTACATCTAGATGAGCATACATCACAGCGTCTGACATTGGCACAAAGACTGAATATTGCTGTTGATGTTGCTGATGCCCTAGAGTATTTGCACAACAGCTGTGAACCACCAATAGTTCACTGTGACTTGAAGCCAAGCAATATTCTTCTTGATCAGGAATTGGTTGCTCATGTTGGGGATTTCGGCCTTGCAAAAGTTCTTCCTAATCCAGCAAGTGAGCAACAGGTTGACTCAAATGGCACTATGGGTATAAGAGGAACAATTGGATATGTCGCTCCAGGTAAATCAAAGTTTTATCCTTAAGTTTGTGTGTTATATCACTATTGTTTGCATATGCAATATAGAATTAGGGAATCACTATTGTTTCTCCATACAAATGTAGAATATGGAGAAGGTGGCCAAATTTCTACATGTGGTGATGTATATAGCTTTGGAATTGTCCTCCTCGAGTTGTTTACAGGCTTGACACCTACTGAAGACATGTTCAGAGATGGGTTAACCTTGCAAAAGCATGCTGAGAATGCATTTCCAGGAATGCTCTCTGATGAAGAAGCTCATGCATGTACTTCACAGGGTGTAAAAAATGCAATGGGAGATATCAACAAGGTCATGTTATCTATCACAAAACTTGCATTATCATGTAGCAAACATGCACCAATAGAAAGAATCAGCATGAGGGATGCAGCAGCTGAGATGCACAAGATAAGGGACAACATCGTATAAGGTAACTAAAAGAAGTTATTATGCAGTGGTATACATTAGGCTCAGGAATGGTTTGCAATATATAGACAATCAGTTCAAACGGTTACCTTTTCAGCTTTGCAGAAATATTGGCTCCCAATAATAATATTTTCTTGAATGTACGAAATATATATTTACACCTACAACCATATCAAAAGCAAACTTGAGTGCACTGTATCACCTTATTAAACTCCAATAGTGTAAATCCGACTCTTGTTGGCTTGGTGATTGTATGAATAAGCAGGGAAAATATTGTGGTACTGATGTTATGTGTATGCAATGTAAGACGGGTGTTTATTCCGTGATAGCCATTACTCACTGAACTGCAGCGCCACTTCAAGAGGCACCACCACCTCACCTTTGATTACTTGTCTCTGTTGCCCTTACTCAACTATTTGACAACCTATTCTGTTTCGACCCCATTAGTTGAGTGAAGTTCTCATAATTCTGGTGTAATCGAGTTCTCAAATGGTGAGATTGAGACACCAGATTCAGATGAAAATTCGACTGCCTGAAGAAACAACGAAAATAACAGGACTCGGCACTGAACATTGGGAAGTACTGCACATCATTCAGCCCAACTCTAGCACTCTAGTGCCATCAGATTGCAAGGGCAGAAGAACTGGCTCACTCGCGCAGATGCGGCGAAGCTGAAGCGGCTACGGAGGTGGGGCCGGCGGTGGCCCGGCATCTGCTTCGGCAGCGCGGCGCCGCGTGCACGGATGCGGAGCGGAGCCGGACCGCGCGAGCAAGCGGTGCGGACTGCTGCTGCGGCGGGCGGCAGGCAGAGGAGGGGCAGATGTGCCTGGGCGTAGGCGCGTAGGAGTTCGGCGCGACGGCGACGAGCGAGCAAGAGGACGGCCGTGGAGTTTGGGGGCTGTGTACGCTCCGTCGGATGAGAATCTGTTGGCAGGTTAAGGACTCAATAAGTGCACATCTCGTGCTTTCATGAGTCAAATAAGTTTAAATTTGACCAAATTATACAAAAAAAATACTAAGATTTATAATATCAAATAATCATTATCAGATCAATCACATTATATATTTTTATACAAATGTTGTTTAGAGATACAGATGTTAGTCAAATTTGGGATTTTTTTGACTCCTCGAAATACGGTATGTACACTTATTTTGGAACAAATGCAATACTTTGATTCCCTTGCTAGCGAAGGAGAGGCGGATTGGCCTGTCCACGTGCGCAAGGTTATATCTAGTTTGATAGACGAGGATGGCTAGCTGAGGCAGGATCAACAAAGAGGACGCTTGATTGTTGGTCAGCCCAAACCAAGCCACCCCCAAGCAAGTCAATGTGGCTAGCTCATCTCAGCAAGAAAAATCTTTGCCAACACAGACCTCGAGGTAAGCTAGCTGAGAATCCAAACATGTTGCTCGTTCTAACTTATAGCTTGGCAAGGTAACACAATGTCCGGCAAAGTTGTCAAATATCCCCAAACGGATCCAAGTGTCCCTAGTTGGCGAATGAGAGTGAAGACTTAGCATGTTTAGCCAAGAGGAGGGCTAGGGTTGCGGCTGCCCTAGCCAAGCATAGCAAGGGGCGCACCGTAGGGGTGGCAGCCTTGCCTTATATAATGGTCCCACGAAACCGACTGCTGATAGGACCGTGATGTCTAAGAAAGAAGAGCAACTTTAAACTAAAACTAAAGGCTCTTAACAAAACTTACTCATCAAAATCTATGCACCTCTTAACAAAACCTACCTATCAAAACATATACAAGATATCTATCTAGATGTCCACTATGATTTTGCTAAGTGTTATTATCTCTAACGCAAATGAGTTATATGCAATCTAGGCAACCTATCAACTAACATATATTCTCTCCATTCAAAATTATAAGATGTATTGGATTTTCTAGACAAATTGCTTTAACTACGTATCTAGACATAGTGTATATCAATGTGCATAGGAAACCCTATGTATCTAAAAAAGCCAAAACGCCTTATCATTTAGAATGGAGGGAGTAACAAACTAGACTAGGAAAGATAAGCACCTAGAAAAACAAGTAATGCACGTAAAAGGCTAGAGATTGCAAACTTCCACGTAAGATTTTGACTCCAACCAAAAAACGACTTCAAAGCCCTAGTGTTTGGGTTTATGCCAAATGGGAGTCTAGATAGATGGAGCAACATTTGACATTGGAGCAAAGATTGTGCATCACAGAAACAACATTTGACATTGGAGCAAAGATTGAGCATTGTCGTTGATGTTGCTGATGCACTAGATTATCTTCACGATGACTACGAATTCATTGCGACTTGAAGCCTGTTAAGTGCACGAAGGTCCACCTACTATAGGCCCATATGGCCCATGACTCTCCTATATGTATATTCAACTTTGCTGCTAGAATGTTCATATCCCCAGATCCTCAGGTTAGTAACATGATACCAAAGCAAGGATTAGAGTTAGGATTAGACTAGTTAATCCACCCAAGATCCATTTTTTCATGGGGATTTCTTGCCTCTCTTCGTCGCCCGTCGTGACTTCCTCACTTGCCACCCGTCGCGGCATCGTTGTCACCTTTGCGTTTCACCATTGATCACGGCCTCTCTTTGTATTGGGTGGACAAGATCGTCAGCCAGCCGATTCCACCTGCTCCTCAGCAACATTATTCTTCTTAATCAGGAGTTGGTTGCTCATGTTGGAGATTTTGGGCTTGCAAAGATTTTGCTTCATTCAGAAAGTGATAAACCGATTAACCCAAACAGCACTATTGGGATAAGTGGAACAATAGGATATGTCGTTCACTCGCTCCAAGTAACTCAAATCTAAACATTTTGGTTCAGAAAAAATATAAGAATTTGTTAATTAATGATGTTTGTCTACGTATGTAAATGTAGAATATATACGGGGAAGGTGGTGAGGTTTCTCCATGTGGGGATGCATACACAGCTTCGGAATTGGGTCATCCATGAGCTATTTACAGGCATGGTGACAGTCGTGGCACCAACTCATGGCATGTTCACAGATGGGCTGACGACGTTGCAGAAGCATGCTAAGAATGCACTTCCAGGGAACCTACTGAAGATCGTTGATCCAGTTCTACTCTGTGAAGAAGAAAAAAATAGGGACCATATTGTGGTACTAATGATATTTGCACATGAATCAGAGGTTACATACTCATAGGCTGCGGTGGCGCTCCACAAGTGGCTAAGAGGCCACTATCTCACCATGAGTCTTGTTTTCAGTTTCCGTCCTGGCTTCCTCAACGCATACCGACTGCTCTGTTTTCACCTGTGCCGGAAGAACAGGACAGTGTTAATAACAAGCAGAGCCGCAGAGGGGACAGAGCAAACATGAGAGATGGAAGGTGGCACGTGCAATCACACAACGAGAAATCTAGAAACCTATTTTCTTCGTATGTGCACATTACATTCTCTGCATCACATGCTATCGCATTGATCGCGGTCCCTAAATCCCCTGGAAGCTGGAACCACACGTCATTTGCTGCACTTCAACCTTGCACAAAATCAAGCGCCACGGGGAGTGGCCCGTTCTAAATTTCGAAAAGAAACAGAGAAGTTTCCGTCGGTGATGCGTCGGGCCAGCAGGGTCTGCTTCTGCAATCTGAGCGAGCGGGTAGTTCGGTAGGTGTCGGCGCAAGCTGTTGGTGCAGCGTCGCAGGGAGCAGAGCACGGTCGCCCCGCCTGGTGGTGGTGGAGTTCCCGGCGACCGACCGGCCGACGGGGACCCTCTCGGTCCAGGATTCTCTGCGGCATCGAGGACAGTGGACACAAGAAAGGCTGTATATATGTATTTTATTATATCAATTATTACTTTATTATCAATTATTACTTTATTAGAAAACGGAAAGCAAGCTTTTAGGAACGGTAGTGCTAGGGTCCGGCTGTTTGCACAGATGTCCGCGTGTGCACTCCGTCTCCCCCCGCACACATGCATCCCGCGCCCGCCTACGTGGGGCTAGCTGCCCGACTGCATATGGGAGTCCTCCGCTTCTCACGCGCATGCACACAGCAAGCAGCTACAGCAGGTGACTATAGTAGGTGGCTACGCTAACATCTAGAAGAGAGGGAGGGGGCGGCAGATGCCCAGCCGGTGTCGAGAGGTGGAGGAGGAGACACCGAGGCGAAGGTGAGGCAGCAAAAAAGCTAAGACAGCGATGCAACACCCAATCTACTTTTGAAACATCTGGATGCAACACCTACAACATACGTCTGAAGACAGATGAAACACATGAAACATGCATCTGAAACACTAGCTGCAACACCAGATCTACTTTTGAAACATCTAGATGAACATACTTGCAACATACGTACGAAACAGTTGAAACACTCGAACACATGCGTATGAAACACTTGCGAATAAAACACATAAAAACACTTCATATGTGTGAAAACATATGCAACATCCCAATGAAAACACTTGCAAACATACGTATGGAAAACGAGATGAAACATTTGGAACATACACTTGAAACATACGTGTATAGCCACTTCAACATGTGCAACATTCCGATCTACTTTTGCAACATCAAGATGATACACTTGCAACATCCAGATGAAACATCTGAAACGCTAAAACATACTCTTGCAACATGGACTTTGCTTGGACGAATGGAGGCACACCGGCTCAGGAGGTCAACAGCGGCGCATGGACCTCGCTGTGCGGCAGCGGCACGAGCAACTCGCCGACGGGCGCGGCGTCACACGGATCTCGTCCCCCTAGCCTGCTTGCTGGAGCATCCGTCGTGGAGGCCCGTTGGCTCGATGGAGGCGGTCCCGGCGAGCGGGTCGGGCCGCAGTGAGGAGGCAGCGAGATGGAGGCGAACGATGCAAGCTGGGCCCAGTGGGGAATGTGGCGCGGAGGAGGCAACACAGGGAGGCAGGGCGGAGGAGGCCACAGGGGATGGGTCGAGGCGCGGCGTTGTGGGGGACCGACGGTGGCGAGGCGAAGTGAGGTGGGCGGATGGACACGACGACGTAGCAAGGAAACGGCACAGCGAGCATCGGGACGTGTGGACGGAACGAGCGGATAGGATGGCTGGATGAGCGACGCGTGTGGAAGTGAGTGGAGGCATCCGGACATCTTAATTTGTATCATTATCATTTTAATAATTGTTATCGCTCATTGTAAAACACATTTCTTTATTGTAGAAAGCAAATACGCTGGACGCACATGTCATGTCATATATTGCAAAAGCATCACAAGCCCTCCAGGGCCGCCACGCAAGCTTCCGTGCCACATTGGGGTGTTCAGTGAGCTAAAAGCTTTTGCGGTAGGGCAGCTAGGCGCTCCAAATTTGTTTAGGGTTACTAACTTATTGCCAAATGCCACACCTTTTGAGCGACTCGTAAAAAGCGGGGTCCATGTTTGGAGCGTCCCACTAGCACGCACCTCCGACTGCAATTAACTAAAAATTGACGTTTCAGGTTTGCTTCCTGTCTTAAATGTCATACTTAGACAGGAGGGATTATGTCCTATCCATTTGGTTGAACTTAAGCATCAGTCTCACTCTTGCGTGAAGACTATCAGCCTGTTCGGTTGGCTAATTCGTATCATTGGTGGTTCGTTTACGTGAAAGAGAAATACTGCTGGCTGGTTCACGTGAATAGTGTCCATGTGAGGGGGCTGGCCAGCCCCAGCCGAACAAGCGGTATGGCCATATCTTATCACAATTTTAGACAAAAAAGATTCCATCCTAGTATGTTTTTCCTCTACTATTTGTTTATTCCTTGACAAAGCCAACTGAGTGTACTAAGCATGACTCAGCTAATACTGCTGAAAACAGAGTAAGAACAGACATCTCCGTCTTAATTTTGCCCTACCAGATTAATTAGCATTGCCAAACACACAAAGAATATTCAATACCGGCCTAGCGAAACGCTGGCGTAATCACTTTTAAAAAAATAACACTACTGCCCTAATCTAATCGCATGTAATAATCTCTTAATAACCACAACAAAAAGCATTGTAAAGTTAAGCTCGTACAGTAATAACCACAACAAGCCGGATCATAAAACGTCACGAACCACGCTACCGCACAGCATGTATGAAATCCTGTCCCCACGGCATCGCCACCTTCCGTGGCATCCCACCCGTCCATCTGCCATCCAACGCTTCGCCTCAGCGCCGACCCCACCTGCCCCGCCACACAAGCAGAGGATCCCGCGGCCGCACTTAATCCACCTCCGCCCCGCCATGCCCCTCCGGCCGCACTGCGGGCCCACCCTGAGCGCAGAGAGGTCAGAGGTCGCTTAAAACCCAAGCAACCCAACCAACCACGAGGGATTATTCATTTTCCGAAAAGAAAAACAAATCAAAGCCGGAGGGAGAAGAAGAGTCGCGAAGGAATGGGGAAGGGCAAGGTGCATCCCTCGCCGTCGCCGGCGGCGGCGGCCGCGGGCGGCGGAGCCGGAGAGATGACGACTGCGGAGGCGGTGCTGATGCGGCTGCTGCCCGCGGCGGTGCTCGCGGCCGCGGCGCCGCTCGGGGCCGAGGGGAAGGAGGTGCTGGCGTACCTGGTGCTGGCGTCGCTGCGGTCCTCGGCACCGCCTACGCCGACGCCTGCGCGCGGCGGGGACGGGAAGGCGGCGGGGGAGCACCACCGGCCGGAGCTCGGGTGCGGCTGCTTCGGGTGCTACACGGCGTACTGGTCCCGCTGGGACGGGTCCCCGGAGGGCGACCGCGAGGCCATCCACCGCGCCATCGAGGCGTTCGAGGAGCACCTGGCGGAGGAGGAGAGGGACCGCGGCGGCGGCAAGGGAGGCGGGGGCCGACGCGGCCGGAAGAAGCGCGCCGGCGCAGCTGCTAAGGACGCCGTCGCCGCCGCCAAGGAGAAGGCCAAGGGGAAGGGGAAGGAGAAGGAGGTCGGCGTCGATTCCCTCCCGCCGCTTCCGCTGCTGCATCCCGCGGCCGATCTCCCTGCCCCGGAGGAAGCGCCGAAGATGGAGGACGGTGCGGAGTACCTGACGGCGGAGGATGAGAAGGCGGAGGCTTCGACCGCGGCCGCCGGCGGTGACGACGAGAAGCGGCGGCGCGGGTGGGGCTCCGTCCTCAGCTGGAAGGCGTGGGGCCTCTGGGGGTCCCACTAGTCAGCTACCGCACGGTTCCCCTCCCTCTCCCTGTTCAGTTTAGGTTTGGTGCGTGGTTCTGATGCTTTCTTTGCTAAATTGCTACTGCTGGGGTTTAGCCGTTTGTACTCTAGCTGCTGCTGCAGGTCGTTGATTGATGGTTAGTACTCCTTCCGTGGCTAGGCAGTGTGAATTAGTGTTGACAGCCTCATACGCCAAGCACCATGATAATAATCAGGATGTGTTTTAATATTTGTTGATGATGCGGTGGGTCACGTGTTAGGTTCTTGTGTGTACGGTACATATACGTAGGCAGGCAGGGAGTGTGTGGTTGCTGTAAATTAATCATTGTAATGTACTCCTAATGTAAATGTGGAAGTAGTAGTTGTTGATATGACTATGCTGTGGATTGCAATTTTCAAATGGTTTGAACGTGTACCACCTTGGGTCGCTGGCCTAGCCGCCTCCCTTGGACTTGGACTTGAAGTTTTGGCCACACTACTGGTAGTAGAAAGGAATTTGCACAGGAAGCGTGATGGCAACTGCTGATTTCTGCTTGGGTCGGCAAGGGAGAACTCGCCCCGGTCAAACCGCACGGGCTGAAATGATTTGGTTGCCGTGAAAAATCTCTGGCTCAGTTTCTGTGTTTGATTTGAATCTGGAATGCTTTTTGCTGATGTCAACAGTTGGACTAGTGGGAGGACTGTGCCCAGAAATGGAACATGGGACTTGGGAACCCTTTGATTCTAGCGTCCTGTTTGCTTTAGTTTATGTGACTTATAAGCCATGCTGACGTTATTTTGCTGTGAAAGAAAAACACTGGATCATGATTGATAAGCATGGCTGATCCGATCAAACGAACATAGTGCTGACCGTTAGTTATCTTTTTCTTGATCCAGTCAGCTAGGAAGGCTAATTGTTCGGCTGGGCTTATACGATCGTGGATTATAAGTTGGAACGATAATTTTCTCTCGTACCAAACCAGCCAACGGTAAATAATTTAAACGAAACGAACATGCTGATGTTCTTTGCTCGGGGGCTCAGCGTCGGAGGGGGTGCATATGTGTAGTACTTACTGTACAAGAGGCACTGCCATCATCCGGTAGGTACTTTTGGCCAATCTATCTAATCTGTGTTTCAACTTTGAAGCAACCAACTCGCTGTCGCAAATGCCTTTCGACTTTCGGGGGCCTCGTGGCCTGGCAGGCACAGGGAAATCAGGCCGTGGAGGAGGTCAACACTCAACTAAACAGGCAGGTTATACAGGAGTCTCTGCTTCGGTTTGGTCAGCGACCTCTTGCGGCAAAGTGGCGTGCTGCCTGCCCAGTGGGCAGTGGGGAGTGGTGACGGTCACGGATCTGTAGCCTTTGTAGGGATTCAGCAAAACGCCCCCGGCTGCTTTGTCAGGTTGGTGGTGGCTTGGCTCAAACCTACTCGGCGTTACATTTCTTTTCTTTTTTTTCATCCATCTTGAGTACGGAACATTTTCATATTCCATCGGTACGTATATTATTTGTCGTTTTAGTTCAAATATAAGAATTAAGGAGAAATGAAAAAGTTACAGTGCATGAGAAACAAGGGACAGATGTATTATTGTAGCAACCGGATTACCGGAGGATACATGAAACAGTGACATTTCTATTTTCAAACAAAAAAGAAGTACAAAATACTCAATTGTCACTTGAAAATAAGGGATTTAAAATTTTATATAAAGCATTTAGAAATTAGGCCCTGGTACAAGGGAATGCATAGGACGGGGTATGATTTCGTGTAAAACACAAGAAACATACGTTTGCAACATGCGCTTTCAGCGCAACATCTCCTTGTTGCTTGGACGAACAGAGGCTCGTCGGCGTGTGAAGTTCACCAGTGTAGAGCTCGCCGGATGCGTGGAGCTGGCCGGCGGCACACATATGGCAAGGATAGGGGCAGCGCGATGGACGGCGCAGGGGGCAGGTGCAATGACCGGTGGGCGCTCGAACGCTATGGAGAACGCCGAGGTGGCACGGGCGCGGTGGAAGCTCAATCATGGCGCGGACGTGGATCTGGGTGGCGGCGCATAGAGGGAGAGGTGGGGGCTGCGCGATGGCAGTGATGACATAGAGGGCGGGTGGGATGGCCGGTGGAGAACGCCAAAATGACACGGTTACAGTGGAGCCGTGGACGGCAGTTGCAGCACGGTCGTGGTGGAGCACGGTCGCAGCAGCAGTGGACGTGGTGAGCTGGACGAGCAGATTCGATTGAGGGCGCATGGACGAGCGAATACGAGTGTAGGCCCAGGAAGCTTGCGTCTGGACGGACAGACGCCTTACGGGGAAGCATTTTCAAACTTATTAAATGCCTTGCATCTTGAAACGAATGAAGCATATATGTAACATATTACCAGCACTTTATTTAATTTCTAACAGCAGAACCGGTAAATAAATAAATCCGTTCCAGCTATTATTCGATCGATTGTGTATCGGACTCAGCCTAATAAGCTTGGTAGCTTATTACTCGGTCCTATTTATTACTGCTGCAGCTCCATGTACGGCAACAGCAGCGGCAGCCCAAGGCCGGGCCGCCTGGCCTTGTTATACTCCACAAGCCTCTCCACGTCTGGAATCAGCCCCTTGACAGCATCCAGCGCGCAGAAGCGCTCCGCCCACGCCACCAGCAGCGGCGTCTTGGCGGCGTCGACGACCTTCACCCCGCAGATGGCCTCGGTGGCGTACAGCCATCCAAGGTGGCCGCCGAGCACGACGTCGACGAGCCCCACGGTGTCCCCTCCGAAGAAGGTCTTCCCCTTGGAGCACTCCTTGAACGCCTGCTCCAGCGTCCCCAGGACCGCGAAGACCTGCCTCGCCGCCTCCACCCTCTCCTCGGCCGTCCTGCCTCTGAAAACGGGTACCCACGTGCTGTACAACTGCCATGCATGCAGAATCGGTGTTAGTTACTGAAACAAGAAATTGGTTTGGAGAGGGTGCCATGACTGCTAGTACGTACGTACCTTGTCTTCGACGTAGGAGGCCCAGAAGCGAGCAACCGCGCGGTCGTAAGGGTCAGATGGAAGGATGGGCGCGCCGCCGCCGGACGGGAATGCCTCGTCGATGTACTGCACGATGATCTGGGACTCGCACACGGGCTTGCCGTCGTGGATGAGCACGGGGACCTTCTTGAGCACGGGGTTGGAGTTGAGGAGAAGCTCGCTCTTGTCGTAGAGGCTCTCCTCGGTGTAAACGTAGGTGAGGCCTTTCAGGTTGAGCGCGATGCGCGCCCTGATCACGAACGGGCTCGCCCACAGGCCAAGCAGTGTAAGCCCTTGGCCACCACCGGTGGCTTCTCCTGCCATGATCCTAGCTACAAGCTGCGCCGAGTATAGCGGAGAACTGGCCGGCCCTCAGCTTGTTGTTTAGTGTGAGCCGTGCGTCGTGTGCGCATCGTCTATATAACGGGGCCTAGTTCTTGACTTGCGAGAACAACGAGTAGCAAATCTTGTTTCGTTCGCACGCGCGGGCCGGACGGCTTGAGTGAGCGAGACAGGTGCACAGCCCATGTGTGTGGGTCCTGTATTGTTGGTTGGAAACCGTTCGTCACCAATGACGCGCTGCTGGTCGACCGGATTTTCTATCTTATATAGTGCCTGGACTAGCCACCTGTTGGAGGAGCGTTGCGGTGCTTTGGATGCATGCCCACGCTAACCAATCATCATGAACACACGAAACATCATGTATGTCCGACATAAAACAGGGCTGCGCATTCCTCACAAAGCTCATCCATTCACACATAAAACAAGGGGACTGGCACTTCATTTTCTCTGTGTTTGGCGGTCCTAAAGGATATATTTCATATTTGTTTTTGTTTTTTGTGTTTTTGTAGATTGTTGGAAATAGATAGTAAATAATGATATGTAGCTTGTGATTTAAGATGCACAGTTTTGTGTGTGTGTGTGTGTGTGTGTGTTTGAGTTTTTTTTGAGGGGCACAATAGTCTTACTCTTGTGGTACGGGTCTGTGATTGTCAATGAATGGTACGAGACTCTAATTGTACTAGAAATGGAGCGCGGCGTTGCCGTGCCTGCCCTCTTTGTGTTCCCTAGATTTGAGCCGGTGTTAGATAGCCGGACAAAGAAATATATCATGAAGGGTAGGCTTTTTAAGGGCACAATTCAGACCTATACATGAGACAAATAAACCTTGAACTGAATTTGAAATCTACTCTGAGGCAGTATACATGTTTTTGTTCGTAAACTGAGAGGGGATGGTTTGTATGTATGATTATACGATAAAAGTGCAGTTTTTATTTGTTTATATAAGTGACTTTGTTCCCATATCTTGGAGAATCTTACCCACGTAAGTTGTAGCACATGGGGTATTAAGAGAAAATGGAAAATGAAAAGGAATAGCCACATGGGAAAGAACCAGCATTATTATCGTCTTGTTCTGCAGCACTACTTCTACAGTCTCTTCATCGAACGAATAATGTTTTTCTCTCTCACACATTTCAGCATAAGCCAAAATTTCAGCGAAATGAACAAGGCCAAGCCATGGATGTAAGATATCATCAATATCGCATAGGTAAATCACAATTGGAATTTAAGAACTCATTAGCATTTTTTTTCTGTGGCCCAAGTGTTACCAGCTGAATATCAAAAAGGGAAAATGAAAGAAGTGTCCATGGTCCATGGAGTGGAGCTAGAGATCATAAATAAACTATTATATTGGAGGCACAAACCACCATGTAGTCTCATCTGCATGGATATTCTTTGCCTTGCAGAGGACAAAGACCCAAAAAAAATCAATAACGCATGAATCTTAGTCGGCTAAACAAAAAAACAGTACATCTAGTGGGAAGGGAGCATATGGACAATTATCACTACTACAGACTCGCATTCTTCTGTGTGTGCGCAAACACACAGAAAAATACAAATACCGTCAGAAAAAATATTTTTCTGACGGTGTACCCTCATAAAAATACCCACGGAAATATAATGACAGAAAAATTCAATTGTTCTGTGTGTTCGCCGTCAGAAATATTTTTTC